CGGGCTTCCCGGGTCTGTAATAAATCTCATCTTATGCCCTTTACATCGGAGCAAGTCTCGAGTTTGTCGGTTGGGGTTAATTTGGGAGGCTTTCTCGGACCCAACAGTTTTAAGATATGAGAAGTCCTGAATATAGAAGACCTCACTCTATTTGCCAAGGTGCTCAGAATAGTTATTTAAGTTTTAAATTAAAGAAAAATCAAATGATTTATAGAAAAATGAAACCAATTATATTGGTTGTTTAGTTTGTAAAGTAGCTAAACCTGAGTAGAGAGTTTAATTGACTTTTGGCTTTAAGTTAATTCTAATTTTAGCAGGTAGTGTGATAAGTACCCCGAGGGGGAGCTAGGTGGGACAGAATGGCCTGCACTCACAGTGATTCCTCCCAAGAATAAAGCGTGAGCAGAATCACATGAGGACCAGGACAAAGGGCGGACTCTCTGCTGCTTTGTGCTGGCCGAGAGGACAAGGACAGCTGTCTAGCATAGTCATCACCGTGTCTAGATCAGTGTCAGACCCATGGGGCCGAAGAAGCTTGAGACCTGATGTCAGGAATTTTTGTGTGAGGTGTGGAAGCCCTGGGCTAAGCCACTCAAGGTTAATGGGAATAGGAAAGTCAAGCCTCGAGAATGGGTTAATTGCCACGAATGTAAGCACTCTAGTCCATGATTTAGGGAAAAACCTCGCTCCCAAAGGGTACTTACCAAATTTGAATGAGGCCGATGTTGCGTGCTGGTTAGAGCGCCTTGGCTGATGGACACAAGCCGATGTGGTGGTGAGCTGCTGGGAGTGCATGAAGTGGACAGGGAGTCCCCGGGAGCTAAAACCCAGTGGAAGGGGTGGAAGCTACCCCTGGGAGTGTTCCCTAATTACATCCGGCTTCTGACACCAGATGAAAGAGAGGCACTTCAACCGGCAGAGATCTCACAGACCACCGAGGCTTGTACAAAAGGTCTTTTTTTTTTTTTTTTTTTTGATACAGGAGCCTCCAGCTGTCCCCCCGGGTAGAGGGCCATGGCAT